CTCCTAAATTTGATCCATAGGAAAATTAAAATCTAAGTACAAGTCAAGGTTATTGATTAATAACATTATCGTAGGATTTTCTCAACATCATTGGCGTAAGAATCTACAAAGACTTAGATTTCTTATTCAATCCCACATAAAAATGTCTAAAGTTGAAGTTAATGAGGTAAACTATGATGCACGTAGCATTGTAATGGACTCTAAAGCTTTCCCATACGTGAGAGATTTAAATGAATGAAGTTCATGATATCAGTTTTCAAAGCACAAACTCGCAGTTGGCGGTTTAGTACAGCGTCTATAAAATAGAATTGATGAATACCGAATTTTCATTTACAAAGAATTAGTTTGGTGAACCATAAGTAGGTTCATAATATAATGTCAAGTTCTACGAGAGGTGAACTCATGCTTGCCAAACTATTAGGTACTCATGTGGTACCTTGCACATTCGGTTTGTTTCCACACACAAGAATGATAAAAATAAAATTCTAACCTCGAGGTAGTATCCAATAAAATTTTGCAATCCGATTTTTTAGGTTTAGAATTTGAGACTTGACTAAAAAGACAAGATAACAAAAACCAAAACATGGTAAAATTTTACAGGATTTAAAGACATACAACACCGTAGTCAAAATCTAAAATCCAAAAGGATAACAATGCAATACTGGTGTTGTTCTAGTTACTTACAAATGGGAAGCAGGAGCACCATACAAATGAATATGAATGTCAATCTACAAAATACAAATTAAACTGATACACGAGTCGACATTCCTTTGTACCAGTGCAGCTTTAGAGCACCCCTCCTGACTGGTGCCTAAATAAAAAGAGAAAAGGGTGAGTATAAAAATATTTAGTAAGCAGCCTACTTGTAAACTCTCATCGCTCTCATCCAAGTAAGTTTCCACATACTTTTGTTTGGTATCTACGAAGTTTGGGCCTAATTTCACATTTATCTAAGCTTTTGAGTAGGTTTTGAAGTTCCAAGTAGTTATCTTGCATTTCAAAGACCCTTTCAAGGTCTGGAAGTTGCTACCACATACCACGGGCAACCATCATGAGTCAACTAACTGTGAAGTCCCAAGTCCTCTTTTTGGATCAATTTACGATATTGCGGTCTCAACCTTTGACCTATCCCTGCACTTAATACAAGCACTCACCTTATCATCTACTTATGTAGTCTCAAATCTTTCTCCATGACCGATTTACGAGACCGCAGCGTCAGCCTTGACCTGTTTCCACACTCAATAGAAACACTCTCCTTGTCATATACTGTGATCTGTGTTCCAAGCGGTTGATGGATGTTATCTCCTTATAGAAGTTTTTTGTTTGGTCATATATTTTAATGTATATTTTCATTACTTTAGGTGATTGATAAAATATCTTTCAAATAAGCTTGCACGAAGATTTAGATTATGCATACCACACTCTTATAATCGATAGGATAATCTCCCAAACAAAGAATGCATAAGAGAACCATGTTGAGGATTATTGAGAGTGAATCCCACCTTGGTTAATTTAATGGAAGATCATGGGTTTATAAGTGAGAAATACTATCTCCACTGGAATGAGGCCTTTTGGGAAGCCCAAAGCAAAACCATGAGAGGACAATATCATACCATTGTGGAGATCCATGATTCCTAACATGGTACCAGAGCCATGCCCTAAACTTAACTATATCAATACAGTGTCAAACAAAAGGTGTAGTTTGTTCGAGAGTACTATCTCCATTGGAATGAAGCCAAAACAAAGCCATGATAATTGAGAACCAAACTGCATAGACGCCCATAAGAACCTAATAAATCTCCACGACATCCTTGTGTGACCCAAGTAGCTTTCAAGACTATAATACTATGAATAGTTTCGTCAGAGTCTCCACTACCCTTTCCACTCTGGTACCAGTATTGTCGAGTTAGGCATAGGCCAATTAGGGAATGTGTTCCCCAACCATGTGGTCAATGGTCTCCTGAAAAGGGTCACTGAGTTATAAATATATTCCTGAGAGGGGAGCATGGGACCACATAGATTGACCCAGTAGCTGGCCGGTGTCACGGCCGTTTAAACGTATGACGTTGTGATCTTGGCACACTCATGACAAGTTTTGAGGAGAACCCAAGCCTCATGAATATTTTTCTCTAGTCCTTGTGGCTTTATTAGACCTTACAAGGTTTGTCTTTGTCAACCGAACACAACTTGTGTAGAATCCAAGCTTGTTCGACGACACAAGCCATCTGCGCATACATGTTCAATCTTCTACGACCCAAGCGACTTGCTCTAACTAGGCCAAGTCATTTAGTTCGACCTTGCCTCTACTTGAGGCCAAGGTCTCTCAATGCAACATCGCATCTCAATTCTCATCTTGGTTCCTAGTTAACTATACATCATGTCTCGATTCCGCCTCAGGTCCAGGAATGTCATCGGCTAGCTGAGCTCACTCGATCATGGCCATCGAGGACGAGTCCATGTGTCATTCATATCATCAGGACATCTTGAATGGATCCATTTAGGTTAAATCAAGGCATTGGCCCTTCTGTGTCCATTCTAGTTCATTTACAGAATTCATTCTGGATAATGAGTGCATAATTCAACCTCTGACACATGGGCAAGGGCGCAATGTCGGCACACTTGTATGGTCCGACACTATCCTTGAAAGATCTATTTCAAAAGAAGTCGCCTAAGACACTCGTCACGCAACACTTGTCCTCATTGTGACACTGCATGTGCCACAGGGTAGTTAGCTTAGACCACAAGGCCCAAGGGTGGTGGAGAGCTAACATCATTCCTCCCCCAAGGTACTTTTGAGGCATTTTTTTATTTGATAGGTGTAGACATGATTTTTGCCGAACGGACATACTATGTTGTGGAGTGTTCATTCAATGTCCAATTGACACTAAATTTGGTGAGCTTTTATATTTCATATGGATGGATTTGACTCCAGAACTGCATGCCCAAGTTCCCTCTTGAACTCTGACTTTTGAGGTTAAGGTTAGGGGCCCTATCCGACCTTTCAACAAACCTATCTTTGACACTCTTGTCTACTTGTTCCCCTATCTTACTTATGTCTTGTCTTCTTTTCAATGTCTACTTTATATAGTGTGTTAGATGATGCACCGTCCTCGTTGGTCGCATCATGACACTCATCTATCTTGACTCTCACGTGGTCAGATGGACGCTGCTTGAGTTTCGCCGCTTTGTTTGTCTCGACATGAAGATCATAACCTACTTTCTTCATACTTGTGACAGCTGGCATGCAGGGACACTCCCCCAATCTTAGGTAACTTTATGGTCCCGTGGGAGAGTTGACAACTAACCTTCTAGATTTAGCAAACACCATACTGTCTCACTAGAAGCTTTATGAGGTAGGCGCCTCAACCCACGACATTGGTTTCTCACTACATAGACAAAGAAAATTACCATAAATTAAAAAATATAAGAGTAGTTTACCCAGAGATGTGACTTGTTGCTCGACAAATTTGTGATGTCATGAAAGGTTGAACCACATTCTTCGAACCCATAGAGTCCATGAGCAGCTAGATAACTACTTAGAACTTCGATGTACCCAAAAAGCTCAGATAACAATAGAGACTAGGCCCGAATTTCCTAGAACATACAGGTAGGTTGTTTACTAAATATTTTTACACTCGATTACTTTTGCTTTCTTCTTCTTCTTATTATTTTTAAGGCGTTGGTGGGCAAGACCCTAAGGATGGCATATGACATTAAGATGAAGATGAAGATTCCTTTCTTTTCATCTTTCTAGTAATCATTGTACTTGAAGTTTTTTTTTTTTTTTTTTTATTTTTT